GATTCATCCCCAGCCAGCTGAGCCTCCTCTGTACTCCCCGACCCGTTGAATCAGGTGTTCTTCAGACATATCCGATAATGGCTCCCTGAGAAAAGTGAAACGGTCGCCAAGGGAAATCGAACGCCGTGAGAGCGCATCCTTTTCCCCTGCCCCCTTCCTGCTAATTGCTCGCCTTGTTTTTGTTCACTCACGTCAGTCTTTACCCCAAAATGTGTATGCCTTGGTATCATCGTCATGAGGGTAGTGATCGTCCCAGGCCGATGTTGCCTACAACCCATCGAGCGATGTGCAGATGTGCCAGGGAGCAAACGTCCAGGCCTGCCGTTCGTGGTGGGTGAGCCTGCCGCGCCACCATTTGGCTACGCTCAAGGATGAGGAGGACTAGGGGCAAGAGGAGAAACACGCTGATGACATCGAGAATGACGACGATGGTGCTTATGATGATGACGGCGATGGCGATGGTGATGCTGATGCTGATGATGATGCTGATGATGGTGATGACGAGGATGATGATGATGATGCTGATGCTGCTGCTGCTGCTGATGATGATGATGATGATGATGGTGGTGGTGGTGGTGATGCCAATGGTGTTGATTGTGATTATGATGAGGACGATGTTGTCGATGATGATGATCCTGATGGTTGTGATGGTGGTGGTGATGATATTGATGCCACTGGTGGTGATATGGTCATGGTTAGGTTGATGACTGGGAGGGGAAGGCAACATAGTTTAACCAACAACGTACCTGTCTTCTTGCAAGCGCCCACATGCAATCAATATCAAGTAGTGAACCGTGTCGCCTGGGGTGGGGGGGGCTGGGCATGCAATCCGTGCGGCGCATCTCGCCTTTGGCGGAAGTTGGCGAAAGCAAGGTGGCGGCGGGTCCGCCAGCGGAAGCCATCGGAAGGTCGGTGGACGGCGGCGGAAACAGCAGCTGTACGCTGACGTCTTTGGATTCCGGGCTTCTGGAGACGGCCGACCGTTGGAGGCGTGCTCCACGTCGCCAGCAGCGCCGTGCCGACGGGCCAGTGGAACCTCCTTCGGCTGCGTTTGGGGCCGGGGGGCCGCCGAACGTCAAAGCGAGGCGATTACGCGCAACCGCACGTGCAAAAGCACGCCCGCGTGCCGCCGTCGGGGGGCGCCAGAACATCGGGTCCTGGAGGGCTTTCGCTCTTTCGGGCTCCCCAGGCCATTCCTTCGACTTGGGACCGTTCGAAAGCTGCTCGAGGACCCGGTTCCAGCAGGAACCGCTGTTCTGGCAAAGGCAGCCTGAGCTGGTCGAGCGGTTCACCGAGGTTTTCGCTGCCCTATTCGGGCCCGTGGAATGCACACGGGCAGAAAGAACGGGTTTCCCCGCGCGTTCCATGGCGGCATGTTGGAACCCCGCTCGCAGCACATTCGTCCAACCAGCATGAAGCAGGTGGTGGATTGTGGCTGGTAGGGTGGTGGTGGTGGTGGTAGGCGGCGCCCACAGGGTGCGGCTGTATGGGACCCACGGTGGGTGGTTCTCATGTGGTATGCTTTGGTGGCAAGTGGAGCGGCGGTCAACATTTGACCAGACGGGCGGCCAAGTTTAACGTTTGTTGTTTTGGAGCATGCCCAGGTTCTCGCAAGTGTCAGGACTTCCACGTGGTATGCTGCCTGTGTAATTTCCAGAAGTGTATATGTGTGATTGGTGCTGAAGGGCTGGTGCGGTGGATGATACTTTAATTTGCAGGTGTGCAGCTATTACGACGCTTCTATTGTATACGTTATGGTGCAGATGTGCATCTGCGACTATGTGGGTCGGGTATCCACAGGAATCGTCGCAGGCAAGGCTTACCATGCGCCAGGAAGAAGACGATTGTGGAAGGAAACGGGTGTTGCCCGAACTGGCTCCAGCCCGCCTTTTTCCTCCTCGTTCCTGCTATTTCCTTCTGTCCTCCTCCTCCTCCTCCTCCTCCTCCTCCTCCTCCTCCTCCCTCTTTTTCATTTCCTTCCGTCCTTCCGTTCCCTCCTCCCTTCCTCCACGCGCCATCTCCCTCCTTCCCCTCCCCCCTTTCCAACCTTCTCGCCTTCTCCCCTCTACTTCCTCCTGCCGCTCCTGCTTCCTCTCTTCCCATCCCTCTCTCCCTGCCCCGACTGCCTCCTCGCCGCCTGCTGCATCTCTCCCTTCCTCCGCACCCCCCTCCCCGACCCCTCACGTAGGCACTTAGGCATTCTCTCCTTGCCAGGCGCCCGTCGACGGTGCGAGCGCCCGAGATCTGGAAGGGCGCCCGGCAGAGCGCCCTGGCGCCCGCACGCTGTGCAGTGGCGCTGCGCTTCTCTCGACACCCGAGGCGGGCCCGACTAAAGGTTGAACCCGCCGCTGTCCGCCAGGTCGTGGCAGACAAAAAGCGCACGCGGCCGCCTCCTCGCCCCCGGCCCGCCCTCCCAGGCCTGCGCCTCGCGGCAAGACGCCACGACGGGCGCTCCGATGCGACTTCGGCCTCCGGGGCGCCCGTCTTGTCAGGAGCGAAAGAAGGACGTACACGTACATGAATCCACGCTGGTTTCGAGAGTTCGCATTGCGCGATTGTTCGTATCACGCGGCTGGTCTCGTGGGTCAAGGGGCCGTGTTCATGTACATAGCTGGGCGCGTACGTCCTTTGTGGGCTCCCTATCTTGGGGCCCCGGGGCCAACAGAGAACGGCCCGTGGCGGGGCCGAGAGCTCTGGGGGCCGGCGTTGAGGACAGATCGCGACGTCGGAGGTCTGTGTCCTCGTCCTCCTCCCTGCTCCTCCGTCGCTCGGACCGTCGGGCCTAGCCGAGCCCGGCGTTGCCCCGGCCGGCACGCGCGGACGTCGGCGTGCCTCCGAGGACGGCCGAGCCGAGCCGAGCCTCCGCCGCTCCCACGCACGCCTCGCTGCTGCTCTCGTCAGGGAGGCCTCCGGGCGTTGAGAGTCAGACTCCGCCCCCTCTGCTCCCACACTCCCCGCCCTCGCTCCTGCCCCCTCCGCCGCCCCCCCGTCCCCTCCCCCCCTCGGATGAGTAGCGGCGCGATGGAAGCTCACGATGTGGTCGGTCTGGTCTTTCCCACTGCTGCTGCGACCAGCCCGTGCCTGAGTACCAGAGCGGGGCTACGGCCCACTCTCCGCCAGAGCCTCCCGTCCCGCTCCCGTTCCCCTGTCCCCCTCTCTCCCGCTGCCCCGCCGCCCGGCATTGGCACCCGCGGCCGTGGAAACCAAGCCACGACGTAGCGTTGTGAAGGGTCGCGTCTGGAGCTCTCGGCGCTATCTTCATTGGGAGTCGTTGGGGGGGGGTCGATCTGTGAGGGCCTGGGGGGCGCAGTGGCCCGTCGTGGTGTCCTCTCGCGACGCCTGGACGTCAGGGTGTCTGCTGCCTAGTGCCCCCTGTACCTTGCCCCTTTCTCCCCAGAGAGTCTGCGGTCACAGGATTGAGAGAGAGAGAGAGAGAGAGCGAGAGACAGCGAGAGAGAGAGAGAGAGAGAGATGGGAGGGTATGTATGTATGTATGTATGTATGTATGTATGTATGTATGTATGTATGTATGTATGTATGTATGTATGTATGTATGTATGTATGTATGTATGTATGTATGTATGTATGTATGTATGCATATATATACATATATATATGTATATATGTATACGTGTATGTGTATATATATATATATAGTTATGTAAATATATAGAGAGAGAAACAAGGAGAGAGGTAAAACACGCACGATGTAGCCAGAACACCATGCTGCTGGCGGACCGACGATGTAGATGAGGGTTGTGCTGCAGCGGAAATGAGGCCAGCGCTGCAGAGGTAGCACCATTTGGAAGGACCGAAGACGCGGAAATGCGACCAGGGGTGTAGCGGGAGCATGAGTTGTAAGGACCGAGCGCGCGGAACGGAGGCCAGCGCTTCCGTGGGAGCACAATGTTGAAGGACTGGGAGCGATCGTGTTGGAAAGCCAATTAATAAAATAACCAACATTTTTTGTTTGAAATCCTGCGAGTGAAGAAATATGCGGAGAGGGCTGGATATTCCCCAGGCAGAGTCAGCTAAGGAATGTGCCCAAGAGGGTTCAGACCCTAGAAGATCCCTTATCTGATAAGGGTGGCGATGATATCCATGGCTCATCCACGATGGGAGTTCGACTGGATTCCACGCCCCTGGGTTCCCTAGCCAATGATTCCTTACCCATGGCCCTCATTGTAGTTCATAATGTGCAGTTGAGAAGGGGGTGGAGGGGCAGGCAAGGTAGGGCAGACAGTGCCTCACTCCATCGTGGCGCGCTTGCGCCCCCCCCAACCCCTCGCCCCTCGTCGGGGCACGGCTGCCCGTGGGGCCCAGGGCACATGGAGCGGCGCTCCTACCTCTTCTCGTGAAGAAGAAGAAGACACAGAAGAAGACACATAATAAAAACAAAAATAGTAGTAAGAACAAGAAGACGAATAATAGAACTAATACAAATAATAATGATATTAGTAATGTTGATATTAATAACAAGGATGATAACAGTAATACGGATAAGAATAATAAGAAGTCACCATGGCGGGTTTTGGGCAATTGTCGGCCTCCGCAGACCCTCGCCCGGGCCCAGGGCCGTCCAACAGACGACTCAGGACGACAATCTGGTCCCTTGGATCAAGTCCAGACCTCAGGGGGGTCCGCGTTGCGAAAGAACCACAACGACGGAGTTCTGGGCGCCCTCCTGTTCTTCCTCCTTGTTTCCGTGTGCGCCTGGTCTCCACGCCTGGCGCGTTTCGCGACGGTTGCGCTCCAGCCGGCCCGCGGCCCTCCCCCCTTCACTCCTGCCTTCCTGCTCCTGTGTGCGTAGTTCGCCTCCGACGCGCCCCGCCGCTGCCCCTCCGCCTGCTGGATCCAGCTCGCCGCAGATCAAGCCCAAGGATGGCCCGAGACGCTCAGAAACCGTACGAAACCGTTCGAAACGCCGCCCCCCTCGAGCCTCGAGGGCCGCGGGCACAACGTGAGTAGCATATTCTTGTGCTCGCCGCCCACCGATGCCGAGCCCCTCTCGCAGCCGGAGGGTCGCCGCGGCCGCCATGGCCGCCGCGGGCCGAGGCGGCAGCGGCGGCGGCCCAGGGGCGGCGCACATCGCCTTGGTGGCGCTGCTCTCGCTGGGCATCGTCGTGTGGGTCGGCGTTGTGGTGCCCGGGGGGTGGGGCGGCCCAGACGTCCGGCACACAAAGTGCGGCCGGTGCGTCGCCGCGCTTGGCCCCATGGGGGACGGCTTTGAGCCTCGGGGCCGTTGTCAGAACGTCTCGGGACGAGAAGCCAGCCCCAGGGAAGTGGCCGAGAGGTCTGTAGAGGCGCACAAGGGTCGAGAGGTCTGGCTGGGGCCCACGCATGGATACCAGTCGAGGCGCTAGAGGTCTGGGGGTGGATCGACGGCGCGCAGAACGGTGTGTCGCGGAGGGGGCCTCGTCCCCCCCCCCGCCCTCTTAGACGTTTGCCCCCCGCGCTCCGCCGCCCTCGGGGGGATGTCCCAGGACATCGGGTTTGCACTTTGTTGATTCGGCTTCGATGTGTTGTGGGCTCTCCAGTTCTCCCTGTCCACGCATCCCCTTGCAGGAAGGCCGTTCTCCCTCCCAGGGAGGCCGTGTCGTATTCGAGCACCATGCTGTTTCTCGGGTTTCGTGCTTCTTCCGTTCCTCCAGGGAGGCCTCCCCTGGCCGCGGCAGGGCATTCGAGTACCCATATTATCTATCAGGTTTCAAACCTCCCGTTCCCCTCCAGGGAGGCCCCGCCACACCGCGGCAGGGTGTTCGAGCACCATGCTGTTTACCAGGTTTCGGGCCCTCCTACCCCTCCAGGGAGGCCCCGCCATACCGCGGCAGGGTATTCGAGTACCATACTGTTGATCGGGTTTCGGGCCCCTCCCACCCCTGTGCAGGTTTATACTTGGGCCGTAGTTGCACCTGACGTGGCCGACGAGGGTGATCGTCTCGCTCTGCGTCAACTTCTCGATCCAGCGCTTGTTCTGTACGGGCACCAGCGGGGGATCGCAGTAGTCGGGTAGGTGGGGCAGCCCATTGTCCTGGAGCCCGTCTCCCTGGGCGCCAGACCCCGAACCCCTGAGCATCCTCAGGTCCGTGCCCGGCTGGTGGGGCTGTCTGCACACGTATGCCTGCTGGCACCAGCTCAGCGCTGGGAAAACGCCTTCTGCAGGCAGTCAGGGGGCTGCAGCTGCCGCTGTCCCTTCTCCTCCTGGGCGAGGAGTTTCGGCTGCAAGAAAGAGAGGAGCTGTGGTTGTCAGGCCCCTGTCAGCCTCTCCTCTTGCGCCTCTCTCTGCACTCCCTTGTGCGCCGCCATATCGGCTCACATGGGCCCTTGAGCTATCATGGCGCGCCAGTGACGGACGCGCCCACGCCTCCGTAAAAAAGAAAGAGAATGTGCTCTTTTCTAGGACGGGTCTCCCTATTTGTACCTCGTGTCTCTCTGTAACCATGCAGTCGCGCCGGTTACCTGCGCGCTGGGGCTCCAATAGCTTTATCCAGATGCCCGCCTCCACGCCCCAGGTCGCAAAGATGTGTAGTTGTGACTCGGTGGCTGCGCTGAACATCGCTTCGTTGCTAGCGATGGCCTCGCCGTCCTCGGACCTGGTGCATGCGACGTTGAGCAGATGCCGGTCGTCAGTGGATCCCCAGGTGTGACTACTGTTGGCACGGGTAGTCGCAAGTATGACCAGGTCAGCCTCGTCTCACTGGCTGGAGTCGATGGTGTTGAGCTCGACGAGTTGCTTGGAAGAGCCCAGGGCGCCTGGTCTTAAGATTTGGGAGAATTTACCCAGGCCGTTAGTCATTGTGGCCATCTGCCTGAAGACTGCCGGTTCGGCTGCGCTGGAAGCTCCTCGGCTGTCCTTTCTGGGGGCTGGGGTGCGGGACCTGGCGGGAGGGGGCTTCGCGTCGGGGGCGTCCTGGGGCGGGGCTCGGCCTTGGGTCCTTGGGTGGGGGACTTGCCGGCCGCGCCTGCCGCCTTTCCTTTGCCTTTGCTCTCTCCTTTCCCTTCGCCTTTGCCTTCGTCAGTCGCCCTGAACTCCTCCTCTGTCAGCGGCCAGCCCATCCTGACCAGGGGCAGCATAGATTTTGTGTCTGCAGAGGATCATCACCTTCCGTCCTGCATGTATAAGGTCGTCCTGGGACGCAGCGGCCAGGTCACGGATCGTGGCGGCCTCTCTGACGTTGGCGTTGCCTTCGGCCATAGCTGTGGAGACCTCGTGGGCCTCAACGTGCACGGGGCGACCTCGGATGCGGTCATCCTTTCCGGCCCCGTGGTCGGGATCTGTGAAGCCTCCTACCCCGGGTGGCAGCGGCCCGTCTCCCGCGGGCATCGTCGGCCTGCCATTGGGTCAACGGGCTGGCTCTCTGCCATGGCGGGCCTTTGGCCACGCTCCGCTCCTCAACGACTTCAGCGGGGTTTCTCAGTCCCGAAATGTGCTTGCCTCCGTAGAAGCAGTGTGAGGCCCGCTGTAGGATGCTGAGGTGCATTCGGTAACGCGTGTCCAGGAGAACGTTGTCATCGTCGCCAAGGCCAAGGGAGGCACGTCGGCGTTCCATGACCGAGATCGTGAGCCCCATGGCTGCCGCTCGCTCACGGCCCTAGTGGGGCGCAGCTGTCGGACGTCTCCGACGACCAGGACTCTTGCGCCCGAGCGTGCCAGGAACATGAGCGAGAGAGTAGCCAGGGCCTCGGTGGACTGTCCTGCCTCGTCTACGATGCCCAGCATCACCCTCGGGCTGCCTCTGGTGTTTTCGTTCGGCCAAGTTCGCGAGGGCCAGCTTGACTCTATCCAGTAGACGTCGCTTGTACGTGCTGAACGTCTTGGCACCCACTCCAGGTTCGAAGGGGTGGCGTCCCCTGGCAGCTACAAACTTTATGACCGGGTTCAAGTCCAGGGCCTCCTGACATGTGGTGCGCTCCTCCCTGGCTATCCGTAGCGCTGTGTCTGGGAAGCCTGTAGCCTCGTCCTGCCGTCCGGCCTTCTTTTGCCTCTGCCAGGTATTCGGCAGGTATGTCCGCTGACTTGTCGGAGCCCGCGTGCGGCCCGTGCACCAGGAGGATTATGCGCTCAAGAGACCGCGAGAGGACTGCGGCCTGGGCATGGTTGAGCTGGTGCCTCTCGGCGACGCGCTGGACGTGGGCGCGGGCCGGGGCGTGGAGGATACTCTGGAAGACGTGCCCGGGGCAAGCATCGACGTCCTCGTCGCTAGGCCGCCGCCGCCAGGTGGTTTCTCAGCAGCCTGCGTTGCTTTGTCGTCGTCCGGGTCAGGTATGGCCACCGCCAGGGTTGCTGCTGCCTGTGGCCTGAGCGATCATCCTGCCGTGGCCATGGTAGCAGTCGAGTTGGCGATCTCCTTGTTTTCAACCTCGTGCGATCGCAGGGCCAGGGCGTAGGTGATCACATGGAGTGAGGTGCCCCAGAGGCTTTCCGGCTCGGCATACTGCATGAAGACGTCGTTGATCGCCGTCCACACGGTTGGTTTGCAATTGCGGCGGGGCGTGGTCTACCCGATACCAAGCGTCGCCAGGTCCGCTGGGCCTTGTAGTCGTGATGTTTTCCGAATGGAAGGCCCCCCTCCTGGCATCGAACCTGGCGATCATGGTCGGCCGCGGTCGCTCCTGCGAGACGTGTCAGTAGGGGCTCCCAGGGCGGGGGGCCGTGCCACAGTCATATCGGCGATGTGAACGGTGACTGGAAATCTGTGCGACACGAGGATGGGAGTGCAGCAATCCTGCTCCTTGGGCCACTCGATGGTATACTCACCTGCCCTCGGAGTCTCTCTTGATGCGCCGAGCCCGTAGTCGCGTGCCACATGGCGCGGGCGCTCGGGGTCATACTTCAGCACGCTGACCCCTAGTGCGCGCGTTCGTCAGCGACGAAGAGTATCTTTGGTACCGGCAGCGCCGTTTTCGGTGGGCTCCAGGCAGGCACGCATCTCCGTCATGAAGACCTGCAGCAGCCTCCTTCCTTTCTCTCCTGCACCATCTTTGGCCATCGGTCGGGTAGCCGTAACTATGGCGCCAGGGATGGGCCCCGTTGGCTGGCGTGCTGCGCGCGCACGGATATCGTGGCAGGGGCTTTCATAAAACTTCTGCACAAACTTTGCTGCTGCGACGGCGGGCTTGTCGTCTTTGAAGCCTTCCTCCTCCCTGGGCTGGTCGTCAGGCGGCGGCTCGGAGGAACCGGCGCTGTCACTCCCAGCTGCGCGGCCGCCGCCAGGGGCTGCAGGTGGTGGGCCAGGGGCAGCTGGACCAGGTGGCGCAGCGTGTGACGGAGCCGCGCTCCGTGCGTCGTGGTTGCTGGGGGAAGCGCCGGGCCGCTCCATCTTGGCAAGGGCATCGTGCGTCTCGGTGGCCTTGTTGGAGGACCAGGTCTTGCCCCCCTCGTCGGACAGCTGGTTGACAGGCCGCGTTCTGCCAATATATCGGCTACGGATCCCAGGGGGCGGGGTCCAGTCGTCAGACGCCCTGGCTGGGGGGAAGCAGGTACGCACAGCATCCCGGTTGCGGACCAACACGCCCGGCGACTTACCGTCTCCTTGCACAGGGAGAGCGCGCGGGCGGTGTTGCGGCGCCTCCAGACGCAGTCTGGGTGTGTGTGTGTGTGTGGCAGCGGTCCGCCTGGCCGCGGGTGTGGGGCGTCCCCAGCGCTGCCTCGCGCCCCCCCGCCCCCCCCACCCCCGGCCAATGCTGGGCAGCACTGACGCCCCCCGCGCCATTCTGCCAGCGTCGCGCCAGCGGCACCACACCCCGCGCACGTCGTCTGGCCTCTCCGGCGGGGCGGCGGGTGCTCCCGCAGAGGGCTCCCCCCACCAAGCCGCAGCCTGCTGGGTTCGGTTGGCCCCCCCACGCCGGCCCCCCCGACGACCCCGACGGCCCGTCCCGACGACCACGTAAGACGACCCCCCCCCGACGCCCACCGTCCACCCCACCGCTAATCACGCCTACGCCGCCTGGTTTCCCTCGCCGCCGTAGGGTCCCTAGCCTCGTCGCGGGCTGCTTCTGTCCCCCGACCCCTGGCCCGGCCTGTCTGCTTGCTGTTCTTCCCGTCTCCTCCTCTTCCTTGTCTCTCTCTCTTTCTCTCTCCTTCTGCTTCCTGCCTGCTGTCTCCGCCTGGCACCCTCTCCGCCTGCCC